GGGGCTTGAATTATTTGAAAACAGCCAAGCATATTCTGCTGGTTCCCTGTGGATGTCAGACATGTGCGTGCACACGATTCCTCCCGTCAGGCTGGGGAGCAGGGCCGGGACATGGGGCCATAGCGGGAACACGGCTTACAGACAAAGCAGCCCACCCACCACCCACATTTCCACTCTCTGTTACCAATCCTTTGTGTTATGCTTTTAAACAAACTCAAAATCAAACCTATTCCAAGAGCAGGCCTAGTCCCACAATCTGTGGGGCTTGAGGTGAAAAAAAGTGAAAACAAACAACAACAAGAAATAACAAAAACAAAAACAAAGAAAACAGTGAAAACAGGGGGCGCCTGGGTGGCTCAGTTGGTTAAGCGTCTGCCTTCAGTTCAGGTCATGATCTCAGGGTCCTGGGATCGAGCCCCGCATCGCATCAGGCTCCCTGCTCAGCGGGGAGTCTGCTTCTCCGTCTCCCTCTGCCTGCAGCTCCCCCTGCTTGTGCTCTCTCTCTGTCAGATAAATAAATAAAATCTAAAAAAAAAAACAAAACAAAACAGTGGAAACAGGCCCACATATCTTGTGTCTAGATATTTAAAAATTATAAATGAAGATAACAAGTAAGCTTCTTACCGTGAGAGATACGTTTATAATGAGCTAAAAAAGAGAGATGAAATTTAGAATACTTGGCTCCACAGAGCTCCAAGCCAGAATGTGGTGATTCGGGGAGAGCAGTCCTGGCCTGGACTGACGCCCTGCTTTCTCGCCCCCAGGCAAAGCCTGCACCATGAAGGGCCTCATACACCTACAAGGAGGATCCCAGACCCTGCGTTCAAGCTGGGCCACATCAGCACCCCTTCTGGCCATTGCTTACGCCTGGGGTGCGACACCAATGGCACGGTGGATCCTCAGAAGGAGAGGCCAGGAAAAGAGGCCCCTCCCATTCCCGGAAGCAGGGTCTTTGGCAGGGAATTCTGGGGTCTGGGAACCTAGAGTGGGTTCTAGAAAGGCAGCATGGCTCTGAGTGAATACATCCACCGGGCCTGTGGATTCCTCGCCCAGTGGGGAGTGGGGACCCGAAGAGGACAAGGGTAGGGCTCTCTGAAGAGCGGGCCCGAGGGGAGGGGCCCCCCTTGCGAAGACAAGAGAGCAAATGATATCTGGCCAAATGATACGTAAGCCAAAAGTGTGAGTTAATACTGGAGCCTGCACAAATCTGGATACCAGAAGTAATTGCTACCTCAACTCTAATACACATGGGCAGGAGCCGTTTCAAGTGCTTTGCCTGCTCTCCTCCCACACATAACTTATTCTGGGCAGTAGCCATGCTCTCCAGTAGGTATAAGGGCCAGAAATCAAATGAATAAACTCCATAATTCAATATTTTACTGGAGAGGTTACACCCAGATTCCAAAGCTCTAGGTGGTGATCTTGGCATGGGTGACCTTTTTTTTTTTTTAAGATTTTATTTATTTATTTGAGACAGAATGAGAGAGAGAGCACATGAGAGGGGGGAGGGTCAGAGGGAGAAGCAGGCCCCCTGCCGAGCAGGGAGCCCGATGCGGGACTCGATCCCGGGACTCCAGGATCATGACCTGAGCCGAAGGCAGTCGCTTAACCAACTAAGCACCCAGGCGCCCCATGGGTGACCTTTTTGTTGCCTCCCCAAGAAGAAAAGCGTGACTCCCTGGGGCCCTGGGTGTGGGCTGCCCTGCTCTTTGTAGCAGTCCTTGGGTCAGCCAAGGTTGCAAGGAGCTATGGGACAAAACCAATCCCTCCGTCCGCATGATTCCCCTCAGAATCAGAGTCATGATCTCAGTCCTGGCTTGACATACAAAAAAGTTAAAATTATGAGCTTCTTTGTTAAGTCATATCTCTATTTCATTTAATGATTTACAACATTTAATTAAAAAAACTATGTCCACACATAAAAAGTATTCTTAGTCATCAATTCTCAAGGCAAAAGATGTAAATAGTGAAATGTATAAGATGTATACTTTGATGTTAATTTGTTGTTGTTGTGTATTTCAATGATAAGAGCACTGGATTCTGGATTCTTGGCTCAGACAAAGGCTTTAGTTCAGCCTTCTCTAACACCATGGTTCCTAATGTATGAAAGACATATTTCCTTAATGATCTTTGGATGTTGGCTACATAAATGAATTCCTTAAATTTTTTTTAATAGAGATAAAAACACAGCCCGAATCAGAAAAAGGAGTCAATTCATACCATCAGGTAGTGGTCACTTCTGGGGTGTGGACAGACAGATCCTCCTTCTGCCCTCACCCCCACCCCCAGCCTTCTCCCCCACAGATGCACTCAGTTCAGACAGAGCCACTCTGTGAGCCAAGGACAATATGTGCACCTACGTTGACCCCATTTCTGGTTGTCACTTGACAACTTGAGCCAACTATTACTAGATGACCCAACGGTTATGATGTTGCCACCCAAAGTACCTACCTTCCTGGAGGCATGCCCTCAGCCTCCCCACCTGTCCAGGCTCCCACGTCATTGTGATTCAGCCTCCTCACCCAGCCAGTTCAAGTGAATCATATGTCCAAGTGAGTGACTTAGTGCTGGTCAATAAGATCTTGCTGGGGTGGCCCCGTCCTGCTCTCTAATAAGAAGCATGGCTTTCAGATGATGCTGATGACCATTCATAAAACTTGATGTCCCGGATGCTGTTCATCCAGAATAGTCCGGGAATGGGGCATTCTAATACACTGGGGAATATGCTGACCTATCGACTACCAGTTTTGAAAGAAAAATAAACTAATTGGGAAAGAACTATAAATTAACAAAACAACACATCACTGGCATATCATAATTTTACCCAGCATTGTAATTACGTATGCATGTACCCCACTTCTCCTGCAAGACCACAGGCTTCTTAAGGGATGGTCAGTACCAGTTTCGTCTTTATTCCCCTTATAGTACCTAGTGGGTTGCTTTATATATTGTAGGTGCTAAAAAAAAAAAAAAAAAAAAGGTTTTGTTAAATGAATGAAAATATAGAACACAAACTATAATTTGCCAACACTGACTTAATCCTTCTCTGATGACTCAGGCCCTCCAGGGTTCAGGCTTATTATTACGTGTGTTATCTCTAGGGATGTTTAATACAGACCAACTGGCTGACAGGGGAATTCTACAATGACTGGAAGACAGTACTGGGTATCTACCGATTCATTCCACTTCTATGTCTATGTGCCTGTATTTAAAAGTCAAACACAGAAGTGATCCCACTCATTATTCCCTGAAAGAAATACCGCATCCCATAGAAGATTTCAAATAAAGAGTATCAGCTAGTTTCTGCTTTTAAACCTTCACCAGGTCAAGGAATTTATCTTTGAGATTTTTGAAAAGGTAGGATGTCATTAGTACTATTAATGTATTATAACAGTTATTTTATTAAAGTCTAATCATCGGATTATAATTTAATGAATGCAAACATATTTATTGCTATGCACCTAATATATGCCAAGCCCTGTGTTAGTCATTAGGGATACAATATGAATATAATTCATACCCTCAAGAAATTTAAATAATTTATCTTTAAGAGCATTTTATTATACAGATCATTTTACAGAACTTTAGATATCACTGTAGAAAATTAGCCTGGGTGTGATGTGACCCTCTAACAGGTCCTATACCTCACTCAAAATACAGAATAATACAAAAGAAAAAATGCAGATGTTAACTTAATTATTGACACTAGTCTTTTTTTTTTCCCCTGAAAAACTCAGCCTCCAGAATGTTCATTTAAGAATCTAGTTTTTTACACTTTTTGAATGCTGGGTAAGTTAGCTTCTGGACATGAGGTGATTTTCATTTCCATTGAGTACCATGTCTGTCCCCCAGGACTTGGGGGCAAGGCAGCTGCCCCAAGTGGGGAGAAAGGAGCCATCACAGCACCCCTCCCCTATGGCCAATCTTTCTGTGGGTGCAGTCGTGAGAGAGGCGGCAGGAGGGAGCCCTGCCCTGGGATTCAGGAGAAACCAGTCCAGTTTGTCAGCTTCCTGTAAACATGCTGATTTTCATCATGACAGTAGGACTTTACAATTCAATCTTCATATCTGAAACTAAGGGTTTAGATGCAATCAGTTTCCCAACATATATTCTGCGAAACACAGGTCCCAGAAGATGCTCCATCAAAAAGGTGCCTCGGAGTACAAGTGTGAGGAAGCCTGAACTCTGCACCCGACTGTGAAGAGTCAGTCACAAAGCACATCAGCACACTGAGGATTCGGAGAAACCGTATCATCAAAACACTGTGAGAGCAGCATTTCTCAAAAGCGTTTGGCATGAAACCCATTCTTCTAGCTTCACCCACCGATTCACTTAATGTTCTGAGGTACAAACTTTGGAAACAATAAATGATCTCTATACTCATTGGTTTTATAGTATCTTAAAGCAGAAAATAGTCTTAGAAGATAGAGGTCCATAAGGTTAGGATCTCATAGCTAGTCAGCGGCCAAACTAGGTCCCTTTCATTTGTCAATTTCTCACATTCCATATGCCAATAACCCCAGTGAATGAAATTTTACTGTGAGCAGGGCTCCAAAGAGCCTCAGTAATTGAAATTTACAGATTTTTCACTAAGCTCCAGGGTTTCCACTTTGGGTTAAATTCTTGGTTGAAGTGACTCCAGATTATGCAAAACTAATGGTGCATATCCATAGGCTGGGGAGATGCTACCAAGCAGAGAATTATCCACAATTCAAGAAATTAATGAGAAGGGGGGGAAAGCGAAACAAACAGCACAGAGTCCAAAGCCCAAGTAATTATCTCCTGGGTAACTAAAAGTAAGTTCCTTTTTTTTTTTTTTTAATACTGAGTTCAAGGAGATCCTTTGATTTTTTTTTTTTTAAAGTATTGAGTCATATTTTCCTTTGGTGTCAGGATTAAGAAAAGAGAACTGATATTTGCTATACCAACCTCAAAGTCCAGTGTCCTAGATAGTGTCTCCTTAATGCTAACTTAAAAGAAGTCTCACACATCACTTCATAATGGACTTTGCCTTGAGCTTAAAGGACAAAGATAGTTTTAAGCTTCACTTTCTTTTCAGGCGGTTTGCTTGTAAAGAATTCTGTAAGTTGGTGGCTAAGTAAACAACTGTATGCTCCTAGCGGTGAATTGGCTGTCCCACAGTCCCAACTACAGTATAGCCCAACCCCAAAGTAATTAAAGAACCGAGCAATTTGCATTCTTTTTCTACAAAACTACTCTTGAGTAGCAGATGGCAAACACAAATGTTTTGCTCTAGAGACATATGGAAACCTCTCTGTTTCATAAAAGCCTCAATGAATATTAAACGCTGAATAATGGCATTCATTGCAAAAATAAGATGTTGTGATAATCTCCCAAACAGGCCTAATTAGGCCACATAGCTACTTGAGTTTCATAGAGTAATACGTGGGAAATTACTATGTGATTAGGATTTCATTAGCAGTTTTTCTTAATCTGAATTTTCATCCTGGCACCGAAAAATCACCTATTCAGCCTATTTCTTCAGCATTCTGTTATGTTGCAACCATCACTTATAATTGTAAATCTTAAAAATGAGTAATCAAAGAATTCTGCTTGATTTCATATTAACTGCTTCGGTTCTGTCTGAACAGTGAGAGTGAGGAATTTCAAGAGAGATCGGATGTTTTATCATAGGTTCTGGAGCATTCAACATGTTCCCTGATTAACTCCATTTAATAAGCCTTGCTGCTGTTAAATTAGAAAAAAAGTCTATGTTTATTCAGGAAATGATTATCCATATTAAGTAGGAATTGGAAGCAGGAATATGACTGGGTATGGCTCAAAATACAAAGCAGAGTCTCATTTTTCTCTGAACCTTTTAGACTGGCACCCTCATAAATTATTGTCACCACCACAGAGAGGACTGAAACGTTGCACTCCTTGGAAAGAGAGAAGTACTGATAACTGAGTCATAGGGTGGACTGAATGCTATTTGGAACAAGGAACTAGGTGTCTTGCGCTCCTTTCCCAGCACCACACCCTGCCTGGCCTCCAAGAGACCTACTAGGCCTCGAGGCTGTTGGGGTAAATCTCGATTCACCAGGGTGCTTGGTTCGCCTGGGAGGGTCACCTGTTATGGGGGTTTGGATTCAAGAGCCAAAGGATTCTATAGTCAGGAAGGGATTATCTAACCCAGCCCCCCTCATTTTACAGTTGAGGAAACTGAGGCATAGAAAGGTTGTTGTCCTGGAGCAAATCATCAGGAGCCCACTAGGATCCAGAGCTGCTTCAGCCCAAATTGGCTGTGATCTCTTTCCCCAAGCTTGAGGGCGCCGAGTTCTACTTTAACGTGGACCATGGCTACCTGGAAGGCCTGGTGCGAGGGTGCAAGGCCAGCCTCCTGACCCAGCAGGACTACCTCAACCTGGTCCAGTGCGAGACCCTGGAAGATGTGAAAATTCATCTCCAGACCACTGATTATGGAAACTTCTTGGCTAATCAAACAAATCCTCTTACTGTTTCCAAAATTGACACGGAGATGAGGAAAAAGCTATGCAGAGAATTTGAATATTTCCGGAATCATTCCCTGGAACCCCTGAGCACGTTTTTTACATACATGACGTGCAGTTACATGATAGACAATGTGATTCTACTGATGAACGGTGCATTGCAAAAAAAACCTGTGAAAGAAATTCTGGCCAAGTGCCACCCATTGGGCCGTTTCACGGAAATGGAAGCAGTCAACATTGCGGAGACACCTTCTGATCTCTTTAAAGCCGTTCTGGTGGAAACACCATTAGCTCCATTCTTTCAAGACTGTATGTCTGAAAATACCCTTGATGAACTGAATATTGAATTACTGCGCAATAAACTGTACAAATCTTACCTCGAGGCATTCTATAAATTCTGTAAGAATCATGGTGATGTCACAGCAGAAATCATGTGTCCTATTCTTGAGTTTGAGGCTGACAGACGTGCTTTTATCATCACTCTTAACTCCTTTGGCACTGAGCTGAGCAAAGACGACCGGGAGACCCTCTACCCGACCTGT